TCCAAGCAGATTCCTATCAAGCATACAAAAAGTTGTTTCAAATGCCTTTCATGCTCTGATGTTTCTCTATGATGATTATTGGGATGCTTCTCATTCACAACTAGCTTTTAAAGACTAATTCCTTAATAACTTTTCTCTGTACTCCCTACCTCTCTACTTATTCTCACCACCCCTCATACAGTGATTAAGGGATCCTCATTATAAATTCCCATTTATTCACTTTTCTACGACAGCATTTTCGAAGGACCAAGGCCAGCAATTTTTATTCAGGTATAATCAAAAGTAATAAGCTTTGAAAGCCCATCCCTTAAATATTTCTGCCTATCCCATAAAGGTCTTTAGGTGACAATCAGCCAGATAGTGATCTACCTACACTTACAGTGATTTGATTGCCGTGCATGAGCTGTGTCAGAGGGCAGACCTACAGCATTCAACAAAGGACATGCACAGACATCTAAGTCCAAAGGGCTTAGCTCCCTGCAAATTTCTTAGCTAAGGTCTGGAAGCAACATAGCTACAGGACAGCTGTAGACTTCTGCAGCATCCTAGGCTCAGTCTGTCTTGTATTACAACTGGAGTATCTCCGGACTGAAGTTAGTTACAACTAGGGTGCCTGCACCAACTTAGACAGGACCCAAGAGGTCTGAATTCTTTGTTCATATCCTTTTAGGGGGAAAAGGTAAAATAAAGATCAGGGGCAGAAGGGAAGCTGGGACATGTAGAAGACAACCTCCAGAGGCACAGGCAGAAGGTTCAATAATCAGATATTTACCATTGTTTTTCTTCACAGTTCAAATAGTCTTTTCCTGTCTTCAGCAACAGGCAAGTCTTCCCCACAGTTAACTCAAAATGCTTTCTTTTTCTGCTCCTTCTAGAGCTTTCTTCTAGAACATGAAAGCCATCCAAGTTCTCTTCATTTTACAAGGAAACACCCTGAAAAGACAAGCTGGCTTATGACACTAGTGAACCTGTCAAGCAGCTGAAAACTGAAACATCTTTCCAGGATGTTCCCTTTCTTGCTTACCTTCAGGGCAAAAGTAGTTCAGAACACTAATCAAAAGTGCCTATCCAAAATATGAACTCTTACTAACATATAACTTGCCAGTAAACCCTGACTAGCTTATTTCTAGCTCTGCTTCCTTTTCAGCTTACAGGCTAACTCTAATGAGTTGCTGTAGTCATTAGTGGCCATTGATAATACGACTTAGTTCCCAGGTGGGTGATTTTTTTTTTTTTTATACTATAATCACTCACACTCCTAAATTAAACCCTGAAGGAAAAGGAAGAAGAAAGCAGCCTGCCAATAACCTAAGTAACTTCTTACAGTAGCAAGCCACTCTATTTTACGTCATTGTGGAGGGCTCATTATGACACATGACAAAAGTATTTACTCATACACGGTGCACAGGCTACATAGAAAGAGAGTATGAATACATTTATCAGGTCCATAGGAATTACTTTGCCAAAACACATTGATGGTCTTCCTGCCTGCCTCTCCTAATGATAGATAATGTCTGATATTTCTGAGAGGCATAATCTCCCCATTAAACACTCTAAGTGTGCGTTATTACAAAGGCAAGATGACTTCTTTCTGACCCCAGCTACTAATAAGCTTATGCTATGACATAAAAGAACAAAAAAAAAGTTATGTAATATGTTAGCAGGTGTAACTACCAACGTTATTTTTCTTTTCAACTGTATTTCCAGTCACTTGAGTCCTGCTTTCTGCTATTGGTTCAAATGGGTACAATACAACTAAATGTACTTGAAGCATCTGAAGTTTCATTGTCTTTTAGCATATTTTAGATTTTCAGTTCTCCCTAACTCTGAAAACTCAAAGGTCTCGAGATAGAGCACATGATTTTGTCATTTTCTTATTCTGGTATTCACCATTGTGCCAAGTTGTAGATCACATAAGGCATTAAATAACGAACTTGCTTCACTGCAACAGATGTCTTCAGAAGCAGAAATGGGCTTTAAAAATGTACAGTTAAGAACTTTCACTTCAGGTGACTTTGGACAATATAAACTGCACTGTGAAATACTTGTTATTGTTATGAAAAAAATCATCTGTCATTGTGTTAGTTTTAGACAGACCTGAACCAAAACCCAAGAGAGAAACACAAATTTAAAATCCTTTGAATCTTCCTAGGGATTTGCACTGCTTTCATCACTATATTACTTCTGAATTCTATGAATGAAATTCACAGTTTGGACTCAGCAATTCACATTTGTGCTACTAGTGCTAATATTTGCAATGGGTTATGGGAGATCAAGTTGGAAAGGATGTCTCATCCACACTAAATTTTAACAGCTTCCTCATATAGTGCCGTACATCTTCCTTACAGGTTTTCCAAAGTAGAGTCCTTTGAAAGATTGAAATTTAGGCAAAGGGATAATTTTTTCCATCATTAGCCTTGTAAAGACCATGACACTCCTTTCGTCTTCTCCTTAAAAGATTGTTCCAGAGCCACCCCCACAGTAAAAGGATATATGCCAGTTCTAAGGTCTCTCTTTTTGTATTTTTTCCATATTCTCCAAAGCACAGAGGTGAATCAACACAGTCATTTTGGAGAGTATGATCTGTGTTCATCTAAAGGCTTTCAGGTAGTCAAATAACATTAATTATAAATAGCTCCCTTAGCGGTAGCCAGGTGCTGACTGCACACAGCACAGCAGCCAGGAGGTTGCCACATCAGTCTGAAATCACAGTTGTAAAGGCAGATGCAGCATTTGGTGCAATGCAGAAATGCATTGTGCCAGCCAGGGAGATGTCACTTTTGAGATCATCAACATGAAGGCATGAAAACACAACATTAACCCCCTGACATTATCTTCAAGCAGTGGTTCACTGTTCTGTGCAAGTCGGTTACAATCACAGTTTTCTGTATCAGCATACCCAACTATGTCCCTGGAGCCAGTTTCACTCCCAGACATACAGAATAATCCAAAGGAACTTGTTCTTTATTGACAAATCTGTTTCAATATTTCACATCATTTGGCCTTAAGACATAAACATGCTAAGCTGCTAAACCCATTTAATTTACCTTTGCAAAATGATTTCCAGTTACCCAGTGTAATGCCTGAGGACATACTGAAATCTCAGGAGATGATAAGGTTTGTTCAGAATATCTGCCTTCTGCTGACATGGTATGCCTGTTTTTTATTTTGGTGTCACCACTTTTGAGGTGAAATAAGGAAAAATATTGTGTAAAATAAAAAATTAACACTGGTACATAGCTTAGGCTAGAGAACAGGGGCTATTTAGCAATCTTTGTACTGCAGTCCATACAGAAGTCTACCATCCTGTGGAGGTGCTTTGCTTGTTGCATCTGTTATGTGTTCTGTTTTCTGCTTGAAAAGAAAGCATTTTGCATATCTTTTAATAGTGGTGTTCCCATCAAGGGAATACAAGCTTCTTGCTTTTAGCATTTTTTAAAAATCCTTTAATCAGCCAGCACACATTATACCTAAGGAGTTGAGGGACATATGGATCTTTGCAACACTGCCATGAGAAACACATCTGAACCAATATCCCCAAACAGAATTCACCCTGCCAACCAAACATGTTCACCTGTCTTTTGCAGACAGATGAAGGATGTGATCCAAGCCAGCCCTGATCCAAAAGCTGTATATCAGGTTTGGCTTCTTAGCTACAGTACCAGGCTGCCCAAAGGTAGAGGTACACAGCTTCTGACTCAGAACTGACCTGTCTTCTGTGAACACAGAGCACAAGCAGGGAGAGCCCACATCTATCTGCAAAGAAACAGAAAGAATTTATTTTGCTTCGGAGAGGCAGAAAAGCATTGCTGTCTACACGTGTGGGCAAGGGAGAGGAATCAATTAAGCATTGAGACGTTGTCTGTGGAAGACCAACTACAAGGAAACTGAACGAGTTTAGGCTGAAAAGTAGGAGAATGCTTTTTCCATCACAGCAATGACATACTGGAACAGCTTCTTAAAAGAAATACTAAGCTTATAAATTTGATTCACTTATAGAAAGGTTTTATAACACAGTTGGGCGGATGGACATAAGAATCCAGGGGATAGCTCTGTGTTCTTTCAAACAGCCTGAAATCACAACGGAGCTCTGGTGTGACACCCCAGAGGGAAACACATTGTGCTCTTGGAAGTCTCAGACACAAATTCAGGTCTGAAATATGAGGCTGAAGTTCAGCTTTGGAATATATTCCTTAGGTATCTGACATTTCTTATCTAACCTCTATTTTCTCCAGGCTAACTGATAGGTTTCTACATGGGATCCTAGAAGATACTCTACTGAAGTCTTGTAAGATCCATAATACTTTCCTTGTCGAGAGTTTTAATCAGTGAAAGATAACTATCCTTGATAGACCTTTCTTGCATGTTATTCCATTTTCCACTTATCCCTACATACTTGATATTTATTTCCTTCAAAATTGATTCTAAAGCTTTGCATACTAGACCAGACTAATAATTCTGTAGTTCTTAAATGCCAGTTATTTTCTATTTTTAATTGTATACTTCTTCATCATTCATTTACCTAAAATTTGCAATAGTAAACCTGTAAATTAATATACCAGTATGTTCAGAATTCTTGGCTGAATATTTTTTTCAAAATTCCCACCTGTCATTTTCTGTTTACTCTCCTGGTTGCTGTGTTTAATTTTGGAGGAAGAATTAAGAACTGAATATCATTTGAAATTTTACAGAGATTATGGGCAAATGTCTTGCAAATCTGTCACCTCTCACAAAAATTTCTTTCAGATATTAAGTTCTGATTTTCTTTGCACACATTTTTTATTATTCTAGTGAATACATTTAACGTCTATTTGCAATGTTTTGGAGACATAGTTTCTGTTTCCCGCACTTTAAAATGACTGGGAAAGAGCCTGCTTTTCACACTGCCCATTGCAAGGGCTCTGTGAATAATTTTGTTCCCCGCCAACTCAGCTGATCAATGAACCACCAAGCTGTTAATCCTAACTCCCAAGAAGTACTGTCTTCTTCACGTGGCCTACCTGAATCAGCGTCTCCAGCTCTAGCTGGGTTACACAAACATGCTCCCGAAGAAAGTCAGCCTTCTCTAGCGCAATTGTGTTCTTCTGCCTGCTTTCGAAGGGCTGCTCCAGGGCACGGAAGACGAGTCCTCCTGTCACCAGGTAAACTACCACCACGACAAAGATGGCCACCACTGTTTTCCACTTCATGACTGTCTGCAGGCCTTGAGAAGGCGCTTCCATGGTAGCAACAACAGTGGCTCGGGAGGAAACAGAGAGTCGTGGAGCTGGGTAATGCCCGTTAGTTTTGGGCTTGGGTTCACAAGCTGGCACTGGTGAGGGAACAGCCACTGAAACACAAAGTAAAAAATTCTTATTCAAAATCAAATCCCTAAGGGTATGATCTTGATCTTAAGATACAACTTTCCTAAATACCATTTTCAAGACTTTTGCATCAACCATGTTATTCACATAGATGTGATTCTTCTCATCTGGAAGGCTCCACGTGTGTTTTGTCCATCCATACACAAGCCACCTCAAGGGTTTGCTTCACCCATTACCTCTAGAACTGGACAGGCCAGTTGCATACACAAAAAAATCAGGATGCAGAAAACCATTTATCCAATAAGAACATGAAAATTTTGACTAGGTAGGATATAAATTACACAAGGTGGTGTTTGATGAGGGACCCTGGCAGTGATTTATGTCCTTAAATCATAATACTAATAGTATTAATAGCGCTAGGAAATTGAACTGTTAATGATCAGTGATCACTACATGGCCTGGTATTGACAGAAACAGAAAATGCTTTGCAAGCCGCAATGCTGTTTGGCTCGCCAACATAAGCAGGCCCATATTACTTACATGGATTCACAAAACCATCATTTCTGAAAATGTTCTTAAAGCCTGGAAGCTTCACAAATTTTAGCATAAATCATTCTTCAGCCAAAGCATACTAGATATCTGAGGTCAAAGTCACTCACATGCCAGCACAATGATGGACTTCCCAGCTTGGGACTGAGACACTGTGTAGCTCACGCAACCTTAGCAGTACATCAGAGCTAATAAGCCCTGACTTCCAGCCAGACTTATTAGCCTGACCACTGTGTCAAGCTACCAAGGCATCCAAATCAAAGCTGGCTCACCTCCAAATAATTCAGGTGTCTCAGCATCACACTTCCCCACTCTCTGTTGCCAGTGTTAGCAATGGCAGGATGAGGCCGGGTTCCTCAGCATCCACTGGTATAATGGTACCACATGCAGGCTTTAAAGATGCTGGATTCATTTTAAACCAAATCCCTGATGTAATCTTACCACGGTGCAGCTGTCATTGGCCTGTAATTTCTTTGAAACCGGATTGATTTATTTCATATCAGACCTAAATCAGATTACAGTTAAAATACAGTCACTTTAGCTGCATTCGCTGAACTTATTCCCAAAGTGTCTTTGCTGTTTTGCTCAGAAATTAAAGCAGAAGGATTTACAATATCTCATCAGAGTGGCAGCGTAAAATGATTCTATACAATTTGAACATATAACTTGATTACACCTTGAGTTTGAAGTGGGCTACAACTCTTCCAGTAGAAA